CAGGTCAGTTCCATAGCCCTTACCATATCTACATAAGTATATTTTAAACTGATTTAATCTCTAAAAGTATAAACCAGCTAGCATTTAAAAAGAATTTCCCACTTAACCATCTTAAAGGATTTCATATATTCTCCATTTTGTAAGAGCTATGCTCTCAGTTATTGATACAACAAACTTAAAACGTTCATGGGCTCCAGCCACAAACATTGATAATCTTGAATTCCAGCACTTCCATTAAAACACTGAAATTCTGAATATAAAGACCATTACCATAGGTTGATATGAAACAGAGGAAGTCATGCCAAATGCACATTTTTAAACAGGAAATTAATTTTTCTGATTCTGTCTGGTTTTACACAAACAATAGCAAAGGGTATGGGGAGTTCACTCAAGCAGATTTTGGAAAGTCAGGTTATTTCACACCACTAAAAGATAAGGGGAATCAGAGACTCTTGCATTCAGACACAATGAGAGCTTAGCCTCAACTCATGCTTTAGCTCTTCTACTAAACCTGTGTTGATTAGATTGGGAGACAAGAGAGAGGTTTGGCCCCCAAAAAAAAGAAAAATAAAAAAAATCACTGTCATCAGATATACTGCAATGCGTATTGAGTTTTAAACAGCAAAAGTGCTGTGGTCACTTCCCATGCAGTTTTGTTGGGTTTTTGGGTTTTGTTATTTTTACCTTAAGGTATTTCGTTCAAGTGGTACCATGAAAAACTTCTGCAACTGTAACTACAGTTTACACAATAACTGTATGCTAGAATAGTTCTGTTAACAGATCAAATACAGGTAAGCTCTTCTGGACCATCTTGCTCAACAGCCATATCTAGTAACAACTCTTTGTAATAACAGCTAGAAACTGGAAGAACTGTACTTTTTCCTCAACGAATGTCCCTCTCCCATATGGACAAATGAGGAATGGTTTTTATCTTCAGCAACTTTTTCTGGTCTTTTTCTTCAAATCAAGGCTAAATCATTATCAAGCAAATTTTAAAGCAGTTATTTAAAAACTACCAATACCACACAAAGCTGTAACGTTACTGCAGCTACCAGTGTCCGAATCTGGAAAACTGCAAAAATAACTAAAGTCAAGAAAGTGGCTATCATATATCTTATCACCTACTTTTCTGACATTGTTTCTTTTACTTACAGTAAAATACGCATATTTCATTTAAATGAGAGCTAAGCTGACAAGAGGATTTAAATACAGCCTTTCTCAATGTTTTCACTTGTATGGGATCAAACCCAGCCACAAGTTCAACTTCAGGACACTGACTAAACTAGAAAATCTTGCACCAGGATTTTGGCGCAGCTGAAGACGTTACTGGTGCGTACTCCCAGTGCATGATCACCTCATTATGCTTACCTGCACTGCTTAAGAATTCTGTTCAAGCTGAAGCTGAATTAACAAGAGTTTTCCTTTATTTTTGTAGTCACTACACTGAAATTTTATGTTTCTGCCAGAACTGGTCACTATTATTTAAAGAAAGGATACTAGAGAACAGCCTTCATTCTGCTTCTAAAAAGCTAGTAGATATGGACAGTTCATCAACATTAAGAATTATTCATAATTTTAAAAAGTAGAATAATACTGGACTTTTAGAAGCACTGACAAAAGTGTACTAACTAGCTGAAAAAATAAAAAAACACCCCCCAAAAATAACTGATGGTATGCTACAACAGCTCTTAACTTTCTAGTATGTTGTGGAGGTGTCCACAGAGAAGAATCGCAGACAAATAAAACTTTACCTCAAATATGCAAAGTGTGGAGACCTACACTTGAACCTGTTGTCCATGCATTCCATTGTTACCGACTTGTTTCCAGCAGCTGTCCTATCACACTGCTAATGCAAGGACAGCCTTATATCTCTATACTGTGCAAAAATCACCACCCTCCCACTCACTTTGCATGACGCAGGTAAACAACCACATAAGACAGAGCTGGACACGTGGTAATTAACATCTGCACGAGAGTTAAAATGTTGGAAACAATTGCCTTACCATGAAGTACCATATGACAATTATCATACGAGTATCACTGAGCAGTCACTCCATGTTTTTGAACTTCCCAGTGCTGCTACTGAGTGCTACTTCAAGGTCACCGTTTTCTAAAGTCAGCCTTTTATTATAGGCCAACTTGCAAGCCCCCAAGGGAGGGGTAAAGAAAGAAGATAGACAGGTTTAGTTTCCCCATTGGGTGTCAGCAACCTGACTTTACTTAAGGCACAGCTGCGTAATCACTGCTGCCAACATAAAAGGAAGGAGCCAAGAACACACTGTTAAGTGGGAAAAAACGGTAAGATATCTCCTTTCAAGCACAAGGAAAGTCACATATGAGGCCTTTCACTGATTTTTAATGGCTTCAGAGTTAACAAAATTAATTTGACATTGTTCAGTCCAGTAGAAATGAAATCCAAGCATTTCAGTGAAATAATTTCTTTGGAAAAACGAACACACACCAGCAGAAACGTAAAAGTTTCAATCCTGGGCTTTCGGTTTTGTTTGTTCATTTTGTGTTGTGTGGGGTTTTTTATTTAGGGTTTTTTTTCAGTGTTTGATCTACAAAGAAAATTAGTGAAACTGTCTACAGGCAGTGCACTGTATCTGCATCAAAAAAAGTTCATCCTATTATAATAGCTTATAGAAGAATTTGACATCAATCACAGCCGGCATAACTCACACACAAATGCTTCTGTCTTTCTTTTGATCTAATATAACTAGAACAATAGTAATATTACATAAATTTTCAAAACTAAGGGCTAAATATAGACAGACTAGTAATCCCAGTAAATTCAGTGAGATCAGTCATCTCCTTAAGCACACGCGCTAGTCTTAGGAAATTGTGAGCAACCTGTCAAAGACTCGAGGGACAAACACCTATTCATCCGCAGAATCAGCATTATACCCTTTTTGGCTATATAAATATATCTTAAAATTCTGATCATTCAACACACAGCTAACAGAAAGACTTCTTCATAAAACACACACTTTTAGGTTGACAACATAAATTAATTAGCAATGTTTTATATAAAAGTTAGACTGGTTACTCACTGCGTGCTTAATAGATATTTTCAAACCTTCCTATATGTGGCATGTCCAAACAAACTTTCGAAAGATTCTTTTTTAACCCTTACTGCATATTTCATACATATTTCCATATATTTTCAGATTTAGCCAATTAGAAAAACAACCTTCCAAACAGAACAAAACCATACCATAAACTATTGTTTAGTCTTTTGCATTATGTGCAGCTGAAGATATATTATCCCCTTATTTATTTCAACACGTTGCAGCAATAGGTCGTCTGCCTTTTTTTTTTTTCTCTACTGACAGTAAGTCAGATGTGAAAAGTCAGTTTGAAAAATGCTATTCAAGTCTCAGAAAAGGTAAGTAAAGTAATATAATTTGTCTACATTAGTCTTAAGTTTTTGGAAAATAGACTAGTAAGTTGCAACAGTACATTTGAGGTTGTTCAGCCTGCAGAAAAGGAGGCTGAGGGGAGACCTGATTGCCCTCTACAACTACCTGAAAGGAGGTGGTAGCCAGGTGGGGGTTGGTCTCTTCTCCCCAGTAATTAGCGACAGGACAAGAGGAAATGGTCTCAAGTTGCGCCAGGGGAGGTTCAGGCTGGATATTAGGAAGAACTTCTTCACTGTAAGAGTCATTAAGCATTGGAACGGGCTCCCCAGGGAGGTGGTGGCCTCACCATCCCTGGAGGTGTTCAAAAAACATTTAAGTGTGGCACTTGGAGACATGGTTTAGTGGGTTTAGCGGGCATGGTGGCATCGGGTATACGGTTGGACTTGATGATCTTTGAGGTCTCTTCCAACCATAACGATTCTATGATTCCATTTAATTCCAGAGCGTTGAACGCTATTCCAGAGGCCAAAAGATGCATTACAGTAGTAACACAAAATTTTCCACTCAATAAAGCAAGAATTTACTTCGAAATAATTTACGAACTGCCAAGTCATTTCTTCCTATATGCACTTGTAGAAGAATACAGAGATTTAAAATTCATTTAAAAAAAAATTAATTTTAAAAAAATTCAAAATATTTTCCTCTTACATGACATCCTAGGTTATCCAATACTCCTCATAAATGTCCATTTGGAGACACTCACTGATCAACTTTATGAATACAAAAAAAACGTAAAATTAATTTAATTAGCATTATCATAATGATGAAGGTACTTTGAGAGATACTTCCAAAAAAAGTAGTTTCTAGCCAATGAGAAATCAAGAGTGTTTTATTATTCCTGTGCACAAATTTGATCCAGTCAATGACTACAGATTCTGCCTATCTAAACACACACAGACACATATGAATACATCCCTTGAGGTTTTAATTTGTCCTAAATATTTCCCAATTTTGCCAAATCCAAAGTCAACTAAGTCAACCAGAAATACATCCAACATACAGTCTCATTTTAACACATAAAATGTATTCTGTCATTCACAATAAGGAAACTAAGATGACCATGACAACACACTGCAGCTAAAACACTTGTATATTCTTACTAAAAATTATTCATATTCTTTCCAAAATATTGAGAATTTATTCCCCATTTGTTTCAAAAATCTCCAAGTTATTACAAAGTTGAGGGGCAGAGAGAAATTTATTAAAATTTGGACCTTAATAGTTCCTAAGAAACAGGACTTACTGAACTGAGTTACTCAAAAGGAATTATTAAAGCTTGTTATAGATTACAAATTCACCAGACTACATCAAATGATAAAATTAGACAATTTTAATCCTGCTATTTAGAATTTTGAGATCTTACAAGATGGACCTAAGGAACCTCACCAGTGCACAGCAAACCAACTAGACCAACTTTTCCTCTGAACTGACTCTAACTCATAGGAATGATTCTTCATATACTGATCAAGTTTTGAAATATACTTAAGAAGGAAATATTTTTTATCATAAAATCTGCTTAGGACTTGTCTAGTCATTTTTTCACACTGTGGGGATTCAAAGAAAGTTTAAAATACTTACTTGGGATACATTGGCTCATAAAGATACTTGTCTCTTGCTGATGGGATTTCAAAAAATAAGATGTATCCATTTGCAGTCTGAAAGAGAAACACTTATAAGATATATATGTAGTCTATCTGCATGAGTAAAATCCGCACAGACTCTTGCAATTTCCACATACGTCTCATATTTTGAACATAAATACACACCCATATCAAGTTTCAGATATATTAAAAACCTATGTGTTGAAATGCATTCTAGGTAAAATCCATTAGCCCTTAAAGCCCCCTGAAAAGATCACTCAGTAGGTAGAAAAATGGAAAGACACTACTGTTGATGTAGGCATCCAGCAGAAATTTTCCTCCAATTCATATAAATACATAAAACCAGACAACTACATCAGATGTTTAGAACCTAGGCACCCAATTCCCACCAACTAAGAGAATTAATGCAGAGAGCATGTAGTAGAGGTAGCAAGCCTTCAGAACAAGTCCTCCAGGTGTTTGAACACATATGGACACTACAGAGTACAAATAAGCGAGGCACTGCCTCTCAATGCTGGTCATGCAGGTAGCTTTCAAAAAATCCTCATGTCACGCAGTATCTTTAGATACCACAACACCTTTTCAGAATCTTCCAGTGTCTGAAGAAGAATTCTAATGCAACTCAAGCCTGAGTCACATTCTGTCATTCTGGAAGACTGACTTCAAACTATAACTCTATTCAGAGAACAAACATAAATCATTTAGTTATCAGATGTTCCAGTCATGACTAGAAGCTGATCCAGTGTTTGTGTAAGCACAGAAGAAGCAGAAGACCAATACGGTTAGCTGTTCAAAGAAGTATGACTTGTTTAAAGCACAAAAGTATCCAGGGAAATTGGCAAATGCATTTTGGCAAACAGTGTTTTCATCCAATCATTTTAATACGGGCTGGGCATGTACCCAAAGCGCTATTACTGGATATAAGAAGCACTGAAATGAATGGTTTCAAGTTGCTTTGCAAGGTTGGTTTCCTTTTCTTCGAATAAAGGAAAAAGTAACACTCTCATTAGCTTACTTTATCATTTCACAGATGCCATGTTTTTCCTCAGTCAAACATTTTGCTTTATCACGAAAGAAATTTGTGTTTTGGCTTCAAAGTCCAAGAAATACAATTATTCTCATTCAAAGTGAGTATCTTTCTTTCTCATGCAAGAACAAAATTCAAACCACAATGGTGAGCCTGAGACAGGCCGAAAAGAATTTTTTTTTGTGAGTGCAGTAATATCATGTTCGGGTATTACGTGGCAAAGAAACATGCTCATTTCTAACATCTTTACAGGTTCTTTCCATTACATCATTAAATATTTAACCTGTAAGTTATCTTATCCTGGAAGGAAAAGTAAAACAATACCGTGGAGTATCTTTATACTGATATTAAGGTACAAAGGGCCTTACTGAACGCCATTCAAAGCACAAAGTTGCTATTGTTACAGGTTCATTTCTAAAGAGACTCTCAAATTCCATGAAAAGCTGGATGAAACGCAGAAGCATTCAACCATATACTTTCTGCAAATTGATTATATTCATTCACAAAGGTTTCCACATTGCTTTAGGCCTCTTGTTGCAATGAAACTTACTAAAGCAACCATCACTGTCATCCGTTCCCTGATCATTCTCACCTGACAGTCAAAAGCCTAAACACACAGTACCTTGCAAGGAATTTTACTACATGGTTTCTCTTATGCTATGATGTTTAATAAACCTCTGCCTTAGCTATGGGAATGCACACTGAAGAGCAGTCTATGTCAGAGGACTGCCTGTGGCAGGGGAAAGACTAAAACACCTTCAATATTTCTCTATATTGAAGCATCTTGACTCAATTCACAAGTTTGTTTAACTACTAGAATTAGCTACCTTGGGTGTATGTACTAATCTAGACAAGAAACAAAATATCTCCCAGTAACACTGGAAAAATTACAAATGCAGCAATATGAAAGAAGAAACTACAAAATATCAGGGGGAAAAAAGATCAGTTTAGAAAATGTGCCAACAGTTTAGTAATAGAAGATATTAGTAGTAAAATAAGTTAGAATCGCTAGGGGATGAGATAGTACAAGAACTGCTTAAGTTTGTTTAACTGCATGCCATTAATGCTACTTGAGGTATTTTATAAAGCCTTATACACTAGACCAAAGTTTGCCTTCAGTACAAATAATAATTACCTCATAGCATAATGCTGCAAAGCGATTTATTTCACAGAGATGCTCTGAACACTCCGTCAGACAGAAATGAAACACACTGTGTATCACTGCTCTAGTGGACATTAAACCCAGACTACACTCCCCATCATTATGTCTTTAAAAAAAAAAGTGCATGTACCAGTAGTAAGTATACACCAAGCCTTTTGTTCAGTTTCTTAAAAAACAAAGTACAACATAATTTTATTATTACATAAAATTACTACAATTAAGAAACTTGAGCACAAGTAGTAACAGGTGAGAAACTAAATCACCTAACTCAGCTTTCAAACTAGTATTTTTAGCTATTGCACAAGACTTCACTAATTAACTGAAGTTAACTCAGTTCGACAAAACCAGTAGTACAAACCACTCTTTTGTTAATAACTTGCTTTGCTACTGCTCCTTCATTTGTACCGATTAGTTTTCTTCTTAAGAAAAAAATCACAAAGAAGGGAGAAAATGTTCATTCTCTTGGAAAGAAGTTCAGAGTTTTATCTGGGGATAAAAGTATCATGCTTTTTTCAGCAGGAACACCTTCTTCATTAAGGTCCCAAAACTGCCTTTCTGCCCTCTCTCTCTGCAACAAAAGTACCAATGTTTGTAAATGTGGTCTTTCAGTAGGACTTCATATATATTCCAAAGGCGCATTAAAAAAACTTGCAAAACAGAACTGCTGTTAAAACTACCATAACAAGCATGCTTGACTATATTATTTGTATATATACACCCAGGAGATGCAATATATGCATAAGAAACATGAAGAATATTAGAAATCTCATTACAGTCATTATTTTATAAACTGTTTGACCATTGTGAATGTTAATTTGTAAAGCTCAAGTTTACAAACTGAGACTTTATGGGCATTTAGATTCTGACATCATTCGCCAAAAAGAACACTATACATTTAGTGGCAGAAAAACTTGAAAGTACAGTAACTGACTGGCAGAAATTAAAGCTAATCTGACTTTCAGCTGGACCATAAGGTCTCTTGAACAAATGAATCACAGAAAAAACATAATATGTAAAGTAATTCAATATAACAATTTAAATCTCTTCTGAACATAAAGGTATAATTAAAATGTGTTTGGATAATTTACTTGTGATTATATGCTGTATTATAAAGTTGGACAGTTCTTTTTTATTCACAGTAAATGATACAGAAGTCTCTTTTCCGCCTTTGCTGGTAACTATATTTTCAGTCAGCAAATGCCAATAATCTGATGCTAAAAGAAATACTTTACTGCATTGATTTCATGAGATCCTTTTAGATGATCTAAACATTCAAAAGCAACTACTCAGAAAAGTCTACCCCTGCATTACATATAAGAAGGTGGGAGCTCAGGAAGTTTAGCTGATTTAGAGTCATGATGATATTGGTAGACACATGAACTATTCCATAAACCATCTGGTATTTTCCACTAAGATAACAATATCTGATTGGCTGAAATACTCAAAGCATTACAGGCATCATTTTAAGCACAAAAGATGGTTTATATTAGGAGATGAAGTCAGTGCACCAACAAATACAGTAGTTGTTATCCAGTTTGTAACTCTGCATAATCAATTTCTGATGGGGAAGCTTAACGATTTCATTCTTTTCTTCTGCACCTTCTCACACAAAAATCTTAAATACAATAGCCTTGATTTTAAAAGCTAGATAAAGAAACTTACACAACTTAAGACCTGGTCCTAACACAAGACCTGATTAAATGTCACTAAGAGTATCATCCCATATTCTGACCCCTATAAACTCTACTCCCACCTCTGTTGTGTCTACCTTGCACCTTGAATTTTTAAATGCTGGTGCTGAAATAGTTCACTTTACTGCTATGAGCATATCATCAGCTACGAAACAAGATTTTATTTCCACGTGAGACAAGATCTCATCTTTACCTTTAAGACTCTTAACAAAAGAGACTATGTATCATCTATCACTGCCCTTCTGTGTTCTCAGTGCCTTGCAATTTTTTTTTAATCACCAAAAGATACTGCACCTTAATAAAGCCACAGTTTCATCCTCTTAAGACTCACCTTTCTGAAACATCTGTAAATCCTATTTATCACGATAAATAAGCTTACGTTACCTAACTTCTCAACTATTTCTTTCACTCACATGTCTTTAAATTCCCTTATTCTTTGTGACCAGATTACTGAAGTAATGAGATGATCGATCAACCCCCACCAATATGTCTGAGCGTTGTTTTAATACAAAGAACTGCAGTTCATTCTTCAGGGGGAAAAAATGAATGAAAACTACTAAAGGAAGCTTCTATCATCAAAAAAAACTTGGTATTATACGTTTTCACAAGATAAATATCAATGAAAAGTATACGCAATCTGCAAGTTTGTATAAGCACAGAAACCAGTAATACAAAATCCTCTTTGCAATAGTTTAACCACAGTAAGAACCAAAAATGCTACTTACTGAAACAGCTATCATGGTGCTGTCAGGCCGCCATTCTGCTTGTTTATAAGGTCCAAACTGAGAAGCTGCTTTTGGTAGTTCCTTGTAGCTTACGACTAATACACTGGGCTGGAGGAAAAAAAAATAATTATATCTCATATCTAGAACGAATGGGATATTTGTTATATTGTGATATAACTGTAAACAATTATGTTTCCTTAACAGCAACAACAACTTTCCCTTGAAGAAGGAGGTTAAAAAATTAGTGTACACCTGACAATGCATTAGACAATGGTGCTATTAAAGGGAATTTATGCAGAACTCCTGTCACACTGTGATTCCTAATCTCACTCCTTCAAACACATTTAACTAAATTACCTCATTTGCCCAGAAGGGAGTCACTACAGAACACAGAAATAGCTTCAAGTTAGACAAAGGGTGACTGATGCTTACAATGAATACAAGCACCTCAAACAGGCTCCTATCACGAAAAGGACTGTCAAATTAACTATGACTAAATATTCTATAGAGTATTTGGTACAATCCATTTGCTCAGTTTCTACTAAATGGACCGGCCACTGTATTAAAGACAGCGATAATCAGGAAATCTGTTTTGTATCTCTTCAAGAACAGGTTGCCAGAAATTGTGCAGAAAATCCACCTCCACAGTTTGCTGAAAAGATTTTGCATATGACTAATGAGATGCACTCATTAGCACCTTTCCTCCTGGGAATGGAGAAAAGCTTTGGCGTCATCAGGCCCAGACAAAGCTACCATAGGCACTATGTCTTCATTCCCTTTCACAAAAGCAATCAAGAGCTGTGACACAAAAACCTAATGGAAAGTTACCCTTCCTTGCACCAGTGCTTAGAAACATTCCTCCTTCTTAAATATATTTAAGAACTGTTTGTACTTTCTTGCTCTTGAACCAATAATAGCTTTCAGCTTAGATAAGTATTCCCCCTTCTGCTACCCTACATCACTGGGAAGTGGGGACAGAGAAATATGTGCACATATATTAGTCTTATATTAGGCTGTATATTAAGCTTATATATATATTCTGTCTTATATCAGGCTTTTATATATTAGGCTGTACTTTCCAGGCTTCAGCTGAATTAAACAAGCCACATTTTTCTTTTCGTAAAAGAAGTTTCCACTCATCTTCACAGCAGATGCTCTCCCTAACTTTATCGTGGCAATTTTTGTTCAGAGTTGTAGCAGTGAACTCTATACCAGAAAGAGCACACTTCTGGAACGGAACCAAAAGGCTAAACAGTAATCACTCTTTTTGCTGAAAGTTATCATGAAACTGCTTGGCAAAGCTTGTTGTCCACCACTAGGAACACAGGTGATGGCAACTTAGTATTGTTCTTAAATTAGTTTACTTGCTCAAACAGCAAAAGCTGGTACAACAAATCTAAAAACATTAATTCTACCAGAAATCATGTGGGTGTCTGCTACTCCAGAATTTGGTGTGTACCTACTACCATCATTTTGGAATCAGTTGCTTCAGTTTCCCTTAAGAAAAAGTAGAGCTACAAACAACCTTAATCTAAAAGGAAGAATAGTATGAAACAAAATAACCAAATGTTTTCACCGTACATATAAATAAGGAGCTGAATTAATGTCACAGAGGCAGTCTTAGCCTTGGTAAATTCATAGTATGACTTTGTATCCTGTAAACAGCACTATTACTTAAATTTCACACCTACACAGAACTGAATTATCAAAAATAAAGTTAAATATTTATACTGTAAATTATAACTCAATTATCAAAAATAAAGTTAAACATTTATACTGTAAAGTATAACAAGCAAGCTAATCTTTACCCTAAGAACTATTTATACCAGCTTTTTCAATTCACGTCTTCTTTTGCAGATATTTGCAAATCATATTATCTAACATTAAATAGGCAACTAATTATTCTTAACAGATTCTTATTGATTGTTCTCATGAACTACATAGCCTTTCACTGCTTGGCTTAAACCCACCTTAACTGCCTTAGATAGACAGAGAAAAAGTGCTTTGTAACACCACAGTTTTGGTAATCTGCATCATCAGTGCAGATTTGGAGACCAATCTTAAAGCACTTCTGTGCTTCAAGCATTTTAGCAGCAGGCAAAAAAATGTTTCAGAAGCTCATTAATACACAGCAATTTTCTTTCTATATTGCTAGTTTTACAGAACACAATGACGTATTTATACTGTAATGTTCTTGTGACATCTATTCATAAGAGAGCTGCTATTAGAGCGTAGAAGTTGGAAAAACATTCTTCGTACACAGCAGCCATAAAATTTATATCAATTGATTTCTAGACTGATCTCATTTTGTGCCTTACATATGAGGACTAAAGGAGTTAACATCAAGAGTGCAGTAAGATAAAAATTATTGCTTGCAGTTTAAGTAGCTTCTTTGCTTATTACAAAGCAGACTAATTTCTAATTCAGTAGGTCACAAAGGCTACCTAGGTAATGGTTAAATCATAAATATTTCACTGATACAATTTATTTCCACATATTCCACACCTTAAAAGCATTATTTCCTATGTGAGGAAAACCCTAACATACAAACTTGATCCCCCTGTTTACAAGCTTTCCACAGAAGTGTGAACTGCTACAAGGTTAACAAAGCTAGAAACACAGCTCCATACACTGCTCTGGTCATGAAAGAGAAAGAGAAATGGTTATTTTACATCTGAAGTCATTTATTACATCTGAAGTGATCACAAATGTACAATGACACAGGAGTATGTTCTATAAACAGGAGTGTATCAGCCTAATTTTAATTACTTGCCCCAAGCAGAGCAAGCCATTAAACATACATTTTAACACAAAAAAAGGGCCTAGTTAGTACAATACTTTTCTCTGGTTAGTTTTAGATATTTAACTCAGCCTGTACAGAAACAGTAGGGGTTTAGATTCTATTACACAGAATTTTCCTCAAATCTTTACATTTGTTTCTGTTGGAAAAACCAACCCTCCACATCAGCTTCATGAAAACTCCATGGTTTTTTCCTCTTCACACTTCCACATGCTACTACTAAAATTATAAAGAAATCTAGTTAAGCACAACTAATGAAACATGCACACTGTCTCAAATAAGCCAAGATATTGATCCTCCTTCTTTATAATGTTTAAATCTGCTTGCTGAAGTATTAATTATAGAGTCACAGCTTTTGGAGAAACTGGTAATTCCAGAAACATAGCAAGCCACCTAACAAACAAAGAGTTCTTTAAAAAAAATAATAATTTTTGTACAGAATAAAAGTAAACACCTTCAGCTCTTAAGGAAGAAAGAACAGAAGACCAAGGAAGAAAGAACTAAGCAAGTCTACTCAAATTGCAACTCAAAACTACCAAAAGCTTCCCAAAATAGATAAGAAGCATATCTTGCATTTTACAACTTGCTGCAGAGAAAATCCAGCATTTTGATATGGTACATTTTGCCTCTCAGGAGGAATGTAAGGTCAGGCAAAACAGAAATTGCCACTCACGAACAGAACAGTGGAGGTGGATGCTCAAATGATAACAAAAATGCTGAAAACAAAAAAAAAAAAGTGAGAGATAACCTGAAAAAGAATATAGTGGTATCATTACTGTGAGAAACATTCACCTATGTAGTTTTTAAGAGAGGACAAAGTCTGTGAAGCAGTGTTTTATTTCAGTGCTGGGCGCACGGGAGATCACCTCCGTGATCCTCCTGCATGCAGTTGGTCTCACTTCTACATATTTGTATAGAACAGTCATTCATATTCATGCTATTTTTCAGAAGTCTTATACATATCAAATGATTTCCCTGAAGTTATTTACATCTATGCCCTCCCACTTGCGTCTGCGCACTGTTGTCTGGGGGTCTTCTTTGAGGGTCATGGGGTGAAGGCTCAAAGTCTTTCTCTCGGTTGAACTCTTGACCTCCTTATTCCTGCACCTGCGCTCTACGTGCCAGTTACATAACAAAATCTCAAGTTGACAGGTAATCTTCTTCTTCCATATATAAGAGCAGGAAGGTGACAACCAAGCTAAGTGGTACCAGCTAAAGCAGCTTGACCTTATACCCAAATACACATTTCCCTGTCTCTGTCCCCATACTTGGTCCTTGGAAACGTATATACTCTCTGACCGCCTATGTGCTATGGCTTAAGCAAAACTACAGTATTATTTATCACAACTACCAAAGACTAAACAAATTCTCCAGTGCTCTAGTTAATGCTACTCAACAAAGAAACACAGAACTTTTTGTTCCCACAGTTAAATACACTTTATGTCCTTCCCTTCTTATACATCATTCAGCTACCTTGGTAGGCTACCTTTTCACAAAAGCACTTTCCACAGGAGCTCTTACTCAGAAATCTTTATGCTTCTAAACAATGTCTTTCTAGCATAAAACATGCCTTTTTTTTACTGATGTGAAATTATGACAACATTCAGAAGAGACAAATGAAAGCAAACGTGTTTTGGATGACCGGTACTGAAACAGAGGAATTGCACTATTTATAAAACAGCAAGGTAGCAAGCTAGATTCATGAGCAAAGACACCTAGCTCAAACCGCTTTAAAACTTACTTTTGGTTCATTGTCAGTTGCTGTTGCACATTAAGAATTCCTTTGGACTTTTCACTAAGAAAGATGAGCTCTGCATCAACATCAGGACAGAACACCTAAGCAAACAATTAAAAAACCCCACCACAAAAACAACACACAACACCAAACTCAAAGTGAAATAATTTTAAACTGTTACTATGTTACTTAATTCTATCTGATCAAACACAACATCCTTCCCATTTCCCTTTTTTAAGCAATAACTAAGCAGCATAAGTAGCCTCAGAACACTGAGCTATATAAAGTAGCTTTTATGAAGAAACCTATCAAAATATACAAACCCTGCAGCAAATTCTCTCAGTAAGCTTAGACATAGGATACTACCACTTCACTTCTCTAAACATAAATGTTCTACCACATTTGATGTAAACACAAATCAAGTAGACATTTAAACCCTAAACTAAGACATGAATGCTGCTCTGAACAGGCCTTCTTTAAATAAGACAGTACAGACTTGAACAGTAGTCCTATATGAGCAAGTGTCTCTCCTAATTGAGATGTTTAAAGGGCTTCAAAGAAAATGATACATTA